TCGCCTGCGGCCGGCGCTGCCCGCGCCCCGGGAGGCGGCCGAGGCCGGGAAAGAGCGCGAGCCCGAGCCGTTGCTGCAGGTCACGCTGGTCGACTGCCCCGGGCACGCCTCGCTCATCCGGACCATCATCGGCGGTGAGCGCGGGCCGGTGGGCGGGCGGGCGCGGGGGGCTTCCCAGCCAACACGCCGAGCAGCGGGGCGCTCAGCCTATAAAAAGACAAGGGTTTACAAAACATAAAAGGTGTGTGAAGTACACGAACGGATTAAGAAAACTCGGAAGCCACAGGAAGCGTATGCATAAAAAATCTCCAAGAAGTCTCCATTCACCTGTCCTTTGGTTCCTGGGTTCCTGTTCCCAGAGTCAGCCACTGTTCCCGGTTTCTTGTGTGTCATTTCAGAAACCCCCCCGTAAATGCAAACATATCTGTGTACAGGTAAATCCTCTTTTCCCCTTTTCTTTATACACCGTTTCAATCAACACTGTCTGGAGAGTGCGCCATGTCTGTACATACCAAGCAACATCATCCTTTTTAAAACTCGTCTAGAATTCCATTGCACATTCGTACCAACATTTTAACTTCTTAATGACGGACCTCTATGTCTTTTCCAGTGTTTGCTAGCCATGCTGCAGTGAACAGTCTAGAATAGAAGTCTTTTGGTGTGTGTGCTACTGTATCTGTAGGGTAAGCTCCTAGAACTGAACTGGCTGGGGCAAAGGGCATGTGTGTGTTCAGTCGTGATGGGTGCAGCCAAAATGCCTCCTAAGATGTGCCATTTAGTTAATTTTTAATTACACAGATAATACACGAATACATGCTACTTGTGAAGAAATAGAATGTTACAAATAAGGCAGAAGTCCTCTTAATCACTCCTCTCTCTTCAATTCTGGATTCCTCCCATCCCTCCAGACAGAACCCCTGTTACTTGTATATCTTTGTCGATTACTTTTCCACACCCACACAGGGCTCTAAAACTTGTTTTGTTTTTAGAAAAAAAAATAATAATACAGTAATACAAGCACATGGCACAAGAGTGTATTCTTTATAGCTAAGTCTACTTCTCACTGCTGACACCGGTACCTGATTACCTTCCTGTTTCCATTTCCTTGTGTTTCCTCCCAGTGATATTCTGTATGCCTGCAAGCACATATGGAAATATATATCAGACAGATGATTATTGGCTTGGTGGCAGATGGCCTCATTGGTCATTGGGCATTCTGGGTCCCAGCTATAGTGATGAGTTTAAGTACTCCCATCTCTGTGACCTCTCAACTGTTCCATGCTGCAGGAAGTCTAAGATCATTTCCCCATATAGCAGTAGAAGTAATGGAGTCTTGAAGAGGTGAAGAGACTTGCCCACAGTCACACTATCTAAAGTCTTCTGCTCAATCCATGTTTCAGTTGTCATTAAAGGGCACGCAATTCTCTACCCCTTTCCCCTACTCTTATGACTGAATTATGTTTGGTCATATTCAAAACATTTTAGGATACACACTCTGAGCCAGTCTAGGTTGGAGGTGGAAGGCACGGATGGGTTAAAAAAAAATGAGAAGGCAAGTTCTTAGTCTTTTCTAGTAAATGGTGTAGGTAAATGGTGAAAGACATACTTTTGGAATAAAAAAAAAACTGGGCTTGAAGCCTGACTTTGTTCCTTACTAGCCGTGTGACCCTTGAACCTAATTCTGGATCTCTGCGTGCTGGCGGAGGATGGCCATCTCTCACTTTCTATCTGGCCCGGCTTTTCTCGCATGTTTGCTCCTTCTTGGCCAAACCCCACAAGGAGTGTGGTGGCTGCCATTTAACAGTTGGGGAAGTTGGGACTTAGGGGCAGTTAATGGCACAGCCCAGGTCTGCCTGACTCTGATGCTAGAGCCCTTTGCTTTCCCAGTGCACTCTATGCACCCCCACCCTCTGCCTATATACACATTTATAGAGAAGCTCTTCATATGATGAAAAGGTTTCAGCACCATCCTCGTCCTGTATAGCCAAATTGTAACACTCCAGAGAATTTGGCATGTCCTTGGTTTGGACCATACAACTGTAGAAGAGGAATTTTTCTATTCTTATACATACGTGGTCACTCTTGTTACTTTTCTCAACTCCTGAGTGAGGAGACTTTCCTTATCCTCTTACCAGGTATTAAAATGTGGCCTGAGCTCATTGGAATGGAGAGACCAAGGCTGCTACCATTCTTCCTTAAATAGATCACATTCCCACCTTCCTTTTCAGGGAAATGAGAAAAAAAAAAGTAGATTGTTTTTCTTTGGAAGGGAAGGCTGCTCCCATTTGAGTGCCTGCTGTGGCTGGCCCTGCTGCTAGGAACTTGTGTCTGTGCAGCACCCTGTGTAGTGGGAGTGTCAGCCCTGTTTTTCAGATGAGGAAACTGATACTTGGCAAGTAAACTCCCTCAGGCTGGTGTTGAAATCCAACTCTTCTGCCCCTAATCTGGATATGGTTCATACCTTCACTTAACCTCATGATCTGTATACCTGTGGACATCTTTGCCTTCTTGGAATGGCTCCCCAGGCTGGATCCTGGCTATGGCATCTGGACTCCTGCAATTCTGAACCCTGCCTGCTCGCCCTCCTTCTCGCTCTAATTCATTCTTTGCCCAGTAGGCAGTGCACTCCTTTTACAGATGTTCATCACATCATGTTAGCTCTCTGCTTCAGGACAATCCAGGGGATTCTCATTGTGCTTCGGGTAAAATCCAGTCTCCTTGTTAGGGCCTACAGGACCTACGGTCTGGTTTTGCTTTCCTCTCAGCCTCATCAACTGCTCTCTCTTGCTCCTGACCTTCAGTCACACTGGCCTCATTTCTGCTTCTCAAATGGGCCAAGCTGCTTCCCTCAGGATCAGTGCACCTGCTGTTGCCTCTGCTTGGTATGTCTAGCTCCTTATTATTTAAGTCTCAGCTTAAATGTCACCTCCTCAGAGAGGCGTCCCCCAATCTACCTATTTAAAGCTACGTCCCTAACCCTCACCCCCTTGTATTTTCCTCATGTCCCGTTTTGTTTCCTTGCTAGCCCTTTTCACTCTCTGATGCTCTTTATGTGTTTACTTGTCAGTTATCTGTCCCCTGGTAGAATGTGAGGTCCATGAGGGTAGAGCAGGAGCATTGTCTTATTTACCAGTGTGTTCTCAGCTCGTGGGCCAGAGCCTGGCATCCGGTAGGCATTCAGTAAGTTTAAATGAGTGAATCCTGTATACAAATACTGGGTTAGCTGGTTATAGTGAGCAGAGAACCTTCTTTGTGGATTAGTGGACAGAAAGCAATTAGCATAGAGCCTGGCCTGCTGTAAGTACCTAATGCATGTTTGTTCTTTTCCCTCCCCTTTAGGAACTTACAGCAGAACCTGGGAGAGGACACTGTGCTGTGTACAGAGTGATTTACTGAAGTTCATTTCACACAGGGGAAAAGCAGGAATAGCTCACTTTGCTGAGGGGCAGGGTATAGGGTATGATACAGGGAAGGAGAGCTTTCGTAGGTGGGGGAACTGCCTGGGCAGGACTCTGAGGCTTGAATGTGCAATTTTGTCTGTTTAGAATCAGAGACAACTGCTAGCATTTAGGTATGGCTGGAAATCAGCATGGTGTGTGGAAGGTGTACTGAAGATGAAGGTGGAAGGGTTGGAGGGCCAAATCCTAGAGAGTGGCCCTTAGCGTAGATTTCTCCTAAGTGCCTAGGAGCTCCTTGGAAGGTTGTTAAAGCAGGTTTGCGACGTGATCAGGCCCCAGCTTTAGATAAAAAGATGCGAGATTTCTGGATAGGGACTCCCACTGGCAGGAGGTATGGTTTTCTCTAGATGTATCTGTACCTGGGATTCCTGGGAGATTGTGCTCTTGTTAGAGTTCCTGGCTTACTGTGAATGATTTAGACCCCTTGTGGAATATGTTATCCCCAGGAGAAGGAAATTAGAACAATTGTCTGAGTTCCATGATGATATCTCTGAAGTTTAATATGTCTTAAATTAAATCTGGCTCTCTGTAATTCCACTGCTCTCCCCAAAACACTTACACACACACACACACACACACACACACACACACACACAGAGAGAGCCACTGCTCTCCCCAAAACACTTACACACACACACACACACACACACACACACACACACACACACACCTTACACACACACACACACACACACACACACACACACACACACACACAGAGAGAGAGAGAGAGAAATCCTTTCTTAACTTAGAGAAAATTGGGTTTTATCTCCCTTGATCCATGTGGCCACAGATAAAACTCCTAAGAGTGCCGTGGAGTCAAAGTGACAGTAGCATTTGGCATTTATTTAGTGCTGTCTTTATGCCATATTTTTGTCGTCATTGTTCAGCCCTCACCGCAGTCGTGGGAGGTAGTAGATGATGTTCCCATTTTACAGATGAAAAACACCACAGCTCAGAGAGGTTCAGGGAACACAGTTAATAAAGAGTAAGAGCTGGGTTTGAACTCATGTTGATCGACTACACAACCCACACTCCAGCGTTCTTAGTGTGAATGAAAAAGTGTACCCGTCTACTCTAGCCCCTGTAGTAGTGTTTCAAGGAAGTATTTTTCTTGAATCCATTTTAGAATATAAATCTTTCAGGGTTAGAACTTCAGAAAGATTCAGTAATGTATGTTTTAAAGACTTGGGTGGGGGTGAGAGACTTGGACTCATCCTCAATCTAACTCCAGCAGGAAAGAGGAGGGTTGAAAAATGCTGGTATCTTGGCTTGGCAATTTATAGTTCTCTGGTGGCTGCTAGGATTAACAGTGTATTGTCTCCTGGTCTTTTGTTCGGGTTGTTAATGAACAGCAGCTCTTCTGCCACGACTTGTCTCCTGAATCTCTTGCCACTTGTACCCACTGTGCAAGCGGCACTCCCTGCGTGGCTCAGATCCTTTCTGGGCCCTCCCTGCCCAGAGCTGAGAGAGCTGCAAAAGACTTGTAAGTCTGACTCAGGTTACTCTCCTTGGAGGGTTAAACAACCAAGAGCCTGACAGATTTTTGTCTCTGCAGCCTGGAGAGAACATTCTTTGTAAAACTTAAGCTACTTTGCCTTCTCTGTTTTTCCGACTTTCTGTGCTCTTGGTGCTGGTGTGGAGAGAGCTCTTGCCCCTGTGGTCTGTCTCATCAA